ATGGCAAACGTTTCCCTCTTTTGCTGTAGGTGTATGTTGAGAAGAATCACTGCAGGTTGGGTTGGGAGCTTTGCTTGCACAGTTATGATTTTTTTTTTTTTTTTTTTCCTCAGGAAGAGAGCAATCAGAACTAGTTTAAGTATTTTTTTAATTATTTTTTTAAATTATTTTTTTTTTCTCAGATATTGCCTTGTATCATCGTCTAACACCAAAAGAATTACTCTAAGAAATTACTGTTGCTTCAGCTATTATACACGTTACCCCACAAAATAATGCATCTTCACCCTAAATCTGTCCCCTTTCCCATTTCTGCTCACACAATTGCTATTTTTTCCCTCTTTGACAGATCAGGTGAAGGGGTGCAGTGCAGAAGAGCTGCCAAGTAAAGGAATAAACTCAGAAAGGCTGCTGTGGGGGTGGCTGGAGCTTGGCTTCTCGGTGGAGGAGCACTGAGGTCTGTGGCTGCGGTGCTGGTACCCCACCTGCTCGGCATGATTTCTTCCAAGATGGAATAAACTTTATTGGGAGTGAGAGGTTTAATCAGTGGCTTTAGTACGAGGCAATGCTACAGGCAATTAAGCAGGAGCTCGTACTCATAAAAGCAAATGTGAAAGCACTCAGGAGTGCCAGAGGTTAGGGAGGGGATTTGCAGAGCGTGATATGGGAAGGAGCATGGGCGGGTGGCGAGAGGCAATGCAGGTAGCAAAGACAGCTTTAATGTGCCCTGCAGCTCAACCAGCCTTTGAGATTGGGGTCTGGAGCCAAGTGCTGGCTGGATGGGAGCAATGAAATTCTCTGTGGCTGCTGGTTTGCTTCGACGCTCTGGATGTCCTTGTGCATGACCACAATGATATCAGGGATGGCTGGCGGTGCCTCTCCGTTTGGTGTGTAACTACAATACCTTGCAGGACCCCCAGTTTATGCATCAAAAAAATAAAAACTAAAATAAAAAGAGGTGATGGGCAAGACTATTTTAAGGACAATTGTCAGCTAGCCAAAGCAGAGCGTGAAACAAAAGTGGTCACAGACCTGGACATGGCAAAAGGATGTAAAGCCCAGAAACTGCGCCAAAAGAGATAAAACCAGATCTCTGTCAAGAGGTGTTGGTTTTCCTGCAAACACTGAGCAGTCAGACTGCATCTCCTTGTGCACAGCCACTGCTGCACTTCTGCACGTGTTGGGGCCCATCTGCAAATCCCTGTTTTTGGAAGAGTGAACTGTCCTGAAGGAAAAACCCACAGCCTGCTGTAGAACTTTTCCCATGAAATGGGGAAAGCGGAGAGATATTGGCAGACCTGGAGAGTGCTGACAGATGTGAGAGGCAGCACAAAAGGTGAAAATTCCTTACCAGAAAGGGCTCGGTGTGAACCAGAGGCTTGGCAACGCGCTTGGGCCAGCTGGTGGACCTGGCACAGGGGTGACATTTCCAGCAGCTCTGAGTACATGGAGACGCCTGCAGGTCAGGAGGGAAAGACCTCTGGCACCCAGAAGTTGGGTCAGGTTTCCTACAACCTCTCCCCGTTCTCCTTCGGACAACACAGGGTTTTGGCAGAAACACAGCAGGAGGAGCTTCTTGCCATTTTCTCATTTTCGAAAGCAAGTGGTTGGTAAGGCAGGAGCTCCCTGTACAGCTGGGCTTAATATGCATGAGGACAACAGTGATCCTCAGCTGGCTCATGACATTATGGAGTGCTTAGAAAAAGTCATAAATTCAGTCTGCAGTATCGGGGAAATTAGTGATTATGGGAAAAAAAAAATAAGGGAAGCATTTCAGTTAACTGCAGGCACAGTGGAAAAATTGACACACACAAAAAAAAAGCTACTGTAAATATAAAACTACCAAGGATAAATTAGTTTAAAATTAAAATTAGTCCTTCATTCTGAGAAACATGGGCAATAAACTGAAGAAGCTAATGTTGGAGGTAAAAACATCACCTCTCTGTGTCTGGTTTCCATCTGGGCAGCTTAATGGGAATTTGGCAGGAAAATCTTCCTTTTGTTACTGGCTATATTTTTTCCCTACTTTTTGGAGGTTGACCACACTGTGGAGATCAGTGGATGGGCCCAAAGTGCAGCCCCCTCCGTGTGTCCCTGGGTGTGTTGGGGTGACAGGGACCATCACCAGAAACAAGGTGGGAATGGGGCTATGACAACCCAAGTGAGGAGCCTGGCTTTGCTGAAGATTTGAGCAAGATTAGGGGGGATTTTGCTCAGGTGGAAATTTGGGGTTGTCTGTGAAATGCCCCCCAGGTTTTTCTGGGCCACTTCTACTTCAGTGGATCAGGGATACTCTGCAGGTGGTCCAAGAGGTGTTTTGGTCAGGAGATGTTCTGCCCCAGCACTGTCACTGCTCTGGTCAGCACAAGGTGTACCACAATAATTCATCCAAAAAAAAAGGAAAAAAGAAAAAAAAAAAAAAGATAAAAGAAAAGAAAAGAAAAGAAAAGAAAAGAAAAGAAAAGAAAAGAAAAGAAAAGAAAAGAAAAGAAAAGAAAAGAAAAGAAAAGAAAAGAAAAGAAAACACGGAGGTACTGAGGAGAAACAGATGGCATCAAATGAAATCAAGTCACTTTTAAGATTCCCATCCACTAACATAGACGTATAGCTCCCTGGAGACTGCAGCAGGTTTTTGGGTTTCTGTATTAAGACTTATTGTAAATAGAAGTGAGTCCGGGGGGTAGGGGGAGATCTGCCTGTGGCTGTTTGGGATGGGGGTTTCAGGCTGTGCTTTGCTCCTGGCATATTTGGGAAGCTCATGGAGAAAGCACTACATGTCATGCCAGCTGAATTTCTAACACGCACAAAGCACCTAGATCCCTCTCAATTTATTCATTGAAAATATTGTCGACCTCTTCTGCATATTGAACCCTCTATGAGTTCTGGTGATATAAATGCTGGTTGGAAGTAATCGTGTTTGCCTGCTTGACGCCTTGATGCGTAGGATTTGAGTGCTTCGGAGGGGGTTGAGTGTGTTGCAACACGCAAAAGCAGCACAGACATACCTGGCTGAATAAGCTGACAGGCAATGAAAACAGAAATTTTGATAGAGAGGTAACGGTGACACCAGGAGAGTCACAGTACGGTAGGTAAAAGCCAAAAGCATTTCAAAAAGTGGAGTTTTGAGAAAACAAACAAACAAACAAACAAACAAAAAACCGTCTGCTTGGTTTGACAAACAAGACTCTTACCCCCTTCACTGATTTCAGCTGTAATGAACATTTTCCATCCTTTTCAATTTGTGTATTCTGACCCCAGATCTTGAAAATCCACGTGTACCTGCTCTCCTCACTTGGGCTCGTTTCTTGCAACTGTGCACGGGGAAACATTCACAGCAGAAAGCATCCTGCAGCTCTCGTGGGCTACAAGCATTAAATTTGGCTTGTTTTCCAATTCTGCTCCCTTTTTTTTTTTTTTTTTTTTTTGCTCACTTTTCTGAAAACAGTTGAATTGAGGATCCCAGGCTTCAGACAAACATCCGTCTGCACATCACTAGAGAAGCATACATGGGGCTGTTTTATGTTATTTATGCACATCCGTAACACGGGAGTGCTTTGTATTTGCCGTGAAGAGCTCCTGCTTCAGCTGGACATCGCTGTACAGAGCGGTAATGGGCATTACTGCATATCTCGTTGTGAGGCTTATGTACTTTCCATGGCTATCAAGGCAGCCCTCCTGTTATAAAAGGATTTGGGGAATAAGTACGTGTTAAAAGAGCAATTTAGAAGACGCGGGTTTCCAAACTGGTGGGATTATTCTGAGGCAGTACTTTGTATGACAGGCTTAAAAAGTATTATTTAAAATGTGCTTGGTTAAAATTATGGATATTCAATACTATGAAACACCCCTCAGCAAACTTGATCCAAAGGTTTGTATTTTTTTATAAAAGCTTTTCACAATAGGCAGAGCCTGCCTTGGTGTCTTCAATAGCTTATTTCAAATTGCCTGCAAACTGTGAACAAAGTGGATACAGCATGGGGAAACCCACACACTCCTTACTAGAGAGGATTTCAATCCCTTTCTGTCAAAAGACAGCTGCTGCTGGGAGCAGGGCTGGACAAGGAATTACAGCCCTTGAGCAAGCAGTGGGGTTTGGGGAGAAGCTGAGTGAAACGTGTAGAGTGATCTCGCTTTGTGATATTTACACAGCTTCTCCAAAATAGTTTGTGAAAGCTGATTTGAGGGCACTTGTTTGAGGGGTTGTTCTTAAGAGGCAGCGTGTGCTATAGGATCACGGAATGGTTTGGGTTGGAAGGAACCTTAAAGCCCATCCAATTCCAACCCACTGCCACCCTCCCACCAGCCCTGGCTGCCCAAATCCCCTCCAGCCCGTCCTGGTGTCCCTGCTGGGAGGGAGCCGGGGGGAGATGCTGGTGCCTTGCTCTGGGAAGAGAGCTCAGCCACCGCGAATTTCTTCGTGCTGCTGCTGCTCTGCACATTTCTCACCGTGAATGGAGACATAATAAACCCGTTTAAAAACAGATGAGTGTTTAGGAGAATGGGAAGTGGGAATTGCTTCTCTCCCTCCTCAGACGACAAATTTGATTGCCGATGTGAAAAAGCCTGTTTTGTAAAAGCAGAGTGCAGCTGAGAAACAGCAGACAACGTGAAGGGCAGCAGATTTATCTGAAGGGCCCTCCCTGACTCCTCCAGCACTGGGATTTGGACTGGAGACCCCAGCACCGGCAAGCACTCTGCTCTGGTTTGGACTGGTTGGGCACATTCCTGTTAAAACTGACTTGTTTATGCATTTTCCTATTTATTTACTTATTCTACAGAAGTACCTTAAAATCACAGTAAATATTATGGTCCTGGAATTGCTGGCATGTGATGGGGAGAATGGGCACGTGCTGTGTTTTGCCACATCCCACCCAGCAGCCACAGGCAAGGCCACGGGCAAGGAGGACAAAATGGTCCAGGGGATGCAGAGAGAAACCAGGAGGAGGTGGATGCAGGAGGAGACCTAGAGCAATTACCTGAGATTTGTCCTGTTCCTTTCTCAGCGACTGTGCCAGTCCCAAAGATGGTCCCAAGGTCCATCGATGAGCAGAGGAGCATGAATTCTTTCAATGCCCTGCACTTAGTACCCACAGCAAAGGTAAGTTAGGAACCAATGTCCCCTCCCCTGCCTCTGTTCTCTGCCCCTTGCTCCTCTGTGAGGTGAGGTTTTGAAATGTTTCTTAACGCCAATATCATTGACAAGTGCTGCAGAGCCTCACTGCATGCTCAGGAGCAGGTTTGTAGCTGGTGTCAGCCCTACTGACCGCCTCGGGGTGACCCAGGCTGACAGCCTACCTAAGGTCACCTGTGTGAGTAGGTAATTAAACGACTTGTTCTTTTAATTTCAGGCCAGTTAGAAACATTGTACACCTTAAATTAATTTTAGATGTTAATTTTAGATGATGCCATACAAGAAAGAAGAAACAGTTTTTAATAGTAACTCTTACTTTAAGGAAAAGTCCAACAAAAATATACTCCAGGATACCTATATAATCTGCTTTTTATATACATATATATATATATATATATATATATATATATATATTTTTTTTTTTCTGTCTGAAATGGGTTTAGAAATCAGAAAGCATTCCCATAAACAAATGCATTGATTTGGGGACACAGCACCCTGTGCCTGCTGCTGCCCCCAAAGGGAGGGTGCAGGCAGCAGCCCTCCAGCAGGGGAAGCCCGGCACTTGCTGGAGCAGGAGAGGAGAAAATTAAAACAGCAACTCACTGCTTAACTGAAAGGAGCGATACTTCTTCAGTGATAATGTAAAAAGAAGAGATTTTTTTGATACTTGGTATCTCTGTTTACATTGGTGCTTCTTAGGTGCCAGCCGAGAGCCACGGTAATCATTTTATATCCACAATAAAGGGAAAAATGCAACAGAAAATGCAATGAAATTATTTTCTAGGCACTTTATTATTTTTAAAGGTAATTGGAAGTCTGTACCTGGACCAGCTCTTGTGTGATAATGACCTAAGTGAATGCTGCTGAATGCTCCCAGACAGGCCCATACATCTGTGAAGTTCATGCTTCTTCAGGGGAGGATTGGGAACACAGCACACATCCATCTTGATTTTATTTCTCCTTCAAACGAAGCTAATTATTTCAGATCGAGCTACTCCCTTGCTCTCACATAAAACTCTAAGCTCGGCTTCTGGTTCTTTTACAGCACGTGTAATTTATCTAATATGCTGATGAACGGGAGACATTTATCATCTTTATCCCTTTTCTGACTGGGGCAACAACTTCTGGGCATATAAACCAAGTATTTAGATGTCCCCTGCAGATAAGATAACAGCCACCAGACAGGTCTCCAGGCATGTCCCCAGTGACCAGCAGGTCTATGACCAAGCTGGGAAGGTGAGGGTCAGCACCAGGTACCAGGAAGTTATTAAAGGGGAAAAAAAAATGGTTTTCTTAACTGGAGCTAAATCACAGCAGCAGTCGGAACGCTGACATCGGGGCTTTAGGTTAGGAACACCTCCGCAGCTTTCACACTAGGGTGGTGAAAAGTTCATGGGTCATTGAGGGTCTGCTCTGGGCCCCGAAGCAGGTGAGACCCTGGCATCTTCAGGTCTTCAGCACCCCAAATCTCCCACAGCAGCACTCTTACTGCTTATTATCAAGTGGTTTATCATGGCTTTATTTTGATTAGCAGGCCAAGCGTCCAAGGCTGCATTAATGTTAATGTGAACGTCTCTCAGATTTAGTCTTCAGGGCTGTAATTTTTAAACATGAGGAAAAGTGAACATCAAAGCCAGTGGTGTTTAAGGGAACTCAAATCCAAGCTGAAGCTGGAGAAACAACCCTAGATCTCTAAGTGACTACTGAGATCATCTCATAAGGCTCACTTTTTATTGTAATTTTTATAGGATTCAACCTTGACTTTCCATCACCGCCCTCAGCCCTTCTGTCTGTCTTGGTCTGAATCTTAAAAAAAAAAACAACAGATGTTTGCTCTCAAGTAAGAGTGAAGTGCTTGGTTAGCTCTTCCCACAATTAACCACCTGGCAAAGCTTGTCCTTTTCTGATGTGGTGCCTCTTCATTTTCTTCCCTTCTGGGGAGAGTCCCTGTTGTCAGACTCTCCATGACAAAGAAAGTCTGTAATACAAAGTCTTTTTATTTATTTTTTTATTTTATTTTATTTTATTTTATTTTATTTTATTTTATTTTATTTTATTTTATTTTATTTTATTTTATTTTATTTTATTTTAATATTTTTTCTTTTGGAGAAATTCAAGAAATTCAGCTAGGCGTTCCCTTTTTAGGATGCTTTGAAAATACAAGCATAATTGTTCAAAGCCATCCAAATTCTGTATTTGCTGTCTCACCCTTTGTTGCTTTTTGGAAGTCAAATAACGGGGCTTAGGGCAATTTGCTTGTGCTCCCGTTACCACTGCTTACATTTTTATTTCGACTGATGTAGCCTCAGAAAGCAGTGGACCATTCAGGCAGCTCTGACTACATTTTCTCTTTGTCTCCTCCCTTTCTATTCCTGTCTACACCTGTTTTCTTTTTTCATTTGTAATGGCATTTCAGATAGATGGTTTCAAAAAGAATATACAGAACAAGATGTAGAGTGATGGCCCCAGAACAGTCCGTGGGGCAACCAGAAACCAGCTGTTCTCTGTTTTTTAATGGTTTTAAATCAAGCAGCACCTACCATGCAGCTCAGCAGTATGCCTCACACATTCAAAAAGTCTTAAAACATATTTAAACGGGTCAAAAGAAGAAAATTCAGCTTGCACCTCCTGTAAATCCTCTTGGTACCTGCAGCGTCGGAGCACCAAGAAGGCCCAGCTGGGATCAGAGCCCTTTTGCAGGAAGGATTGCACTGCCTGCAAAGGGCAAAGAGGAGTAAGCTCTTGTGTATTTTTAGGATGAGCACTTCTGACAGGAAGCTGTGGGTTCTTGTTGGCAGTTCAGCCTGTTGATTTGTCTTCAGGCTCAAAAATATGTGTAACACCTGTGGTTGCCAGAGGTGAAGTTCCCTGCATTTGCTGTAAGACTCCACTGCAAAAGAGGGATTTCCTGTCGAGACCACAAGAGCCATCACTTGAAAAAGCATCACCATTTCTGCCTTTAGACCTCCATATTCTCATTTACAAAGAATGGCACATAGCCAAAGCAGTGCGTCACATGCTAAAATCCATTTGTTTTCCCCTTGTCCAGTGATATTGTTCTAGTAAATCTCCTGCTCTACAGGGATTTTGCAAACTCACTCCGAGGAGGCATTTGACTACCAGGGTTTTGAGCTAAATGAGAAAGTGCTGCTGTGTTCCCACCCAGGGGAGTGAGGAAAGGGATCACAAAGCTCCTGGGCACATGGGAGCTACAGGAGAGCCTCCGTGGTGGGGCATGGGGGCAGCTGAGCATCTCAAGAGAGCCACAAGCCAAGTCCAGCACAAAGACTCAACACTTGGAGCAAGCCAACAGCAGGAAGGCAGCTTGCCATCTCCCAGGGCAGCTCAGCCTCAGAGCAGAAACTGCAGAGCCACGCTGTGACATCAACTGCAGCTGAACATTGCTGTCTGTCACCTACACGCTTCAGGATTTTCTTTCTTCCTCTAAGGTTTGGCTTTTCCCTGAAATGCCAGTCAAATGAACGGCTGGAAGAGGTGTTTAAGTTGTAGGCAAAACTCTTCTCCCCTCATTAGCTTCCCTGTGGTGAGTTTGACATACACACAATGCACCCACACACTGCCAAACAGCTTCCACCCAACTCTTTCTAAAGGAAGAAAAAGAAGGAGAAAAAAAAAAAAAAAAAAGGAAGAGGCCATTGTATCTTTTTTTTATTATTATTATTTTTTACTTTAAATACATGTGAGACATGTAGCTACAAGAATTCTCCAGATGATCGCTGAAGGCAATAACAAAAAATAGACAATAAACATTTTTCCTGTATTAAAAAATATATAATAAAAAAAGATAGTTGTAATTAATTCCTAGAATACTGTCAGTCAGAGTACAAGGTATATCCCTGGTTCCCACATGCAATCAGACCTTGGAACAATAGATTGAATTGCAGTGGAGGGTACGAATGTGAATAAATGAAGTTATCTGTCATACTGCAGTCAAAACGACGTGCTAGTCCCTGCAAGATTTTCTGTCGTGTTAGTCTAAGACTAAAGCCTTTAGGAAACAAACACAACAAAACAAAACCTACCACAAACAAAACCTTCACTCAGGTCTTTTCAGTAGGATTAGATTAAACCCATCCAACACTAGCTCTGAATTGATGAGACACTGGAAATGAGAGTGGGTTTCCCAAGTTAGAGAACAGGTTTGCAGATGCCATGTTTTGGTCAGATAGGTTTCTAAGCTCAGAATAGAATTTGAAACACCGAAGATGCTTTGGTTGTTAGCGGGTTGGTCAAACAAGAGCACCATGAAGGAGCCAAGGGAGGTGGTGGTGGGAAAATCCCAGGTTTGCCATTTGGTCACGTTAAGTGCCAGTAGTGCTCTTGGACCTGGAAAGTGCATAGCTACCTTCAATATGAGGTGTAATAACTCCCAAATGGGAATGCTCACATTTTTTAGACAATAAATCATAGTCTGGAAGATGGAGAAACTTTGCAAAATCTAACGGGCAGGGCCCAAAGGGTTATGGTGAATGGCGCTGCGTCAGGCTGGCGGGCGGTCACTAGTGGGGTCCCTCAAGGCTCCATTTTAGGGCCAGTACTTTTCAATATTTTTATAAATGATCTGGATGTAGGAATAGAAGGTATTTTGAGCAAGTTTGCCGATGACACCAAACTTGGAGGAGTTGTGGACTCGAATGAGGGTGGAAAGGCCTTGCAGAGGGATCTGGATAGGTTGGAGAGCTGGGCGATCGCCAACCGCATGAAGTTCAATAAGAGCAAGTGCCGGGTCCTGCACCTGGGACGGGGAAACCCTGGCTGCACGTACAGACTGGGCGATGAGACGCTGGAGAGCAGCCTAGAAGAGAGGGATCTGGGGGTCATGGTAGACAGCAAGTTCAATATGAGCCAGCAGTGTGCCCTGGCAGCCAGGAGGGCCAACCATGTCCTGGGGTGCATCAAGCACGGCATCGCTAGTAGGTCGAGGGAGGTGATTGTCCCGCTCTACT